TAAAATTAAACGTTGGCATTGCCCTGTAATTTACACATAGTAGATTGTTTATCTCCTCTCCTCCTACGTGAAGCTGCCCCTACGTTCTCCCCCTTATCTTCCAAAATTTTGAAATAGCGCTATTCTGACTTGTGTTTTTTGTTTTTTGTTTTGTTGCTTTGTGCGCGTCTTCTTCCTCCGTGTTCTTTTCTAGTCGTACGTTAGTTATACTGCCCAACAGCGCCCTCATGAGTTCAGGTGGCCTTGCTCAATTTCCATAAAATTCCAAATACGTAATGTGAGCCTCAATTAGCCTTAATTAAAGGTTAGTTGAGCTTAGTTGGTAAATCTCCTATCAGTCAACCTAATATTTGAGTAGGTTTGATAGTAATACTGACTTTTATCATCTTCTCAATAAAACTCTGTCTTAAGTATGTGACATTTGTTTATGTGAACAAATACAAAATTTAATGAAAATCTGTTTTTGTCATTGTTCTGTCCTTTTAAAATATTGAAATGAATTAAAATATATATATATATTGATACCAGTTGCACAATCACACCAACTCTACATAATGAAGTTTTCAGCTTTACAGACGTTAAGTGAAAACATGTGTACATTCTGTACTGTATATAATGAGGGATTCAGAGACTAGAGGCGTTGCTGGGTGGTGGGGGAGTCGAAGACCTCCCTGTATGTTTTGGATCCTGGATGGTTTAAAAGAATTATAGGGACACTGCTCTGGATGGTGGATAATTGCAGGTTCAGGTCCACATATGAGGGCCAAATCACTTCTGCATGGAAAAAACTGAGGCGTAACATGCATGCGGTGAAGCAGAAAGGGATGCTTAGCGCAGTCTCTCTTAACTATAGCTTTGCACGAATCCAAGAGGCTTCATCTGGTTTGTGGGTGTTTGTGGGGAGTGACATTGAGTATTAGTATGTCAGGAGCGTGTTCTGAATGATAACTTGAAAAAGACAGAAAAACGCTGACTAATGTAGGTGATGAGTCAAGATGAAAATAGCCACTTGCTAATGGCCAACTTAGCCCTTCATTTTATTCTTTAGTAGATCCTTGCTTTAAGCTTCTCACGCTAGCTCTGTGCAAGAAGTTACAGTCAGGAAAGGATAACGGATTGTTACTGAAAGATATAAGGTCTGAAGAATCACCTTGAGGCATCTTTCTCCGCAGTAAGGTTTGTCATTAAATTACTTTTCCCTTTAGAGCTGACAGCTCAGTGAGAGAAAAACATAATACTGTGATGGGCAGAGTTGAAAGAACTATGTGTCAGTGAAGGATCAGCAATACTATTAATTTCATTTGTCCTCCTCTTTTTAACATGGCAGCTCCATTAACTGTGAAAGTGCAGGGAAGTTGATGGATGCTGTTGTACGTCCACAGCACTGATGCAATTTAAGAGAAAGGTCTTGGGAGACTCCAGGTGCCAAACTGCATGATTGTAGGGAGATTACATTTGAACTGCGGCTGCCTGAATGCTCTGGTGCACGAAAAATAACATTTTCAATTTAAAAAGCAATTTATTTTAAAGCGGAGAAGTGAAGAAAATCTGCATATCATCAAAGGTTATTATAATTTACAGGATAAACGTGCCTGAATCTGATGTACATAAACCCAAAAGACGTTGACTCTTAAAAAATGATCTTCGCTCTTTCTCTGTCTCTTCCTCTCCCCCTCTCTCCTGCTCTGTCTTCCTCTTCCTCCCTTCTTAATATCTCCTCCTCTCATCCCTTGTCTCCCTTCCTTTGTCCTTTATTAGATGAAGTATGAAGTTATGATCTCTATCAAGATCTTCTTTTTCCTCAGCCCTATGATCTGATTTTGATTTCTACTTGCTGGGTGAAATTTAAGAAAGCTGGAATGGATATCACTATGGAAGAATAATTTAATTTTCCCCAAGCTAACAGGAGGTTGGTATGTATTTGAACTGTGACGAAGAAGGTTAAGTGTTTTGGTGTTTTTTGCCACATCTAATAGTAAATAGTAAAATTATTATTAACAGCTCAAAGACAGAAGGAAAGAGGGAAACCATATAACAATGAATTAGTTTTCATGAGAACAGAAAGCCAACAGATAATTTACAAAATGAACAGTTTCCATTGCACATTTCAACACTCAGCGTGAAACCTGTTGTATTAAATGTCGACTTTAATTTATGTTATCATTAGCAATTCGGGGTTCAGTAACTCCAGTTTTTTTTGATTAGGCACCAAATTCTCCACAGAATGAAAATGCCAACACAGCAGTGGGCTGCTATAAATAAAAACAATAGACTCTAACGTAACAGTGAGCTGGGTCTGCGTTAAGCCAAGAGCTCCCATCTGTTTATGCTATACAGACATAGGCTTTATGGGAGGAATGCTGCGGCTTTTTCTAAATGCCGTTTACCCTGTGAACTCAGCCCAAAGAAAAGGGGATAAATGCATCTGATCAGATCTTTGTGGTGGTGGTGGCGGCGTCCTCTTTGCCAGTCCATATTCAGCATGTGTTTCACCAACCACATGTCGTCTGTGTCCTTTTCCAGCACAGCCAGGAGAAGTCACATTGATCTGCAAAATGAACCTACCCACAGTGAGGTCTTTTTACAGAAAGATCTCCACTGTAAAAGAGATTAAACTTCATTTTAATCGTGGTATACCTGTGCTGCGAGGCTGTGTCAGGTGAATCCCTGCTGTAACTTTTAACACCTACTAAAGAGTTTTTTGTTATTATTATTATTTAGTGAAAGAGCAAATGAGACTATCTATACAAATATGACCATTTATGTTATGGTATTTACGAGGATGCTCAGCTTCCCCCACTGTGATAGCTTTAAACGAGAATCAAATTCAGAAATGAATACCAGTAAAAATAAAACAAAAAATTCATATTATACATTTTACAATTCTTATTTAACTTGTGGTGGTGCAGATTCTTGCCAGTCATACAAAAGTTCCTGGGTCTGACTTTGCTAAACTACGTTTTAAAAACTCCATTTGAACCAATCAGCTTTTTGTTTGCTGTATACATTTTGTTGTTGTTTGTTGTTGTGTGTTGTGCACGTGCATGTGAACCAGCCCGTCTGTTTACAAGGACATGTGCTTATACATCAGATCCCAGTCGTTTTATGGATGTTTGACATTCTCAGTCTGTGCTGCTGATGAGAACCGCAGCTGATCTGAGGTAATGTGTTCAGCAGAAGATGGAAGATGAGATGTGAGCTGAAGGATCCTTTAAATGTCAGAAAGGAGCCCTCTGCCCCCTTTACCCCACCACCACCACCACTACTGCCCCAACTCTTCTGTTAAGTATGTTGAAGAGGAGAGCTCAATATGAATGAGAGCTTTGTTGATGTTGTGAATCGTCATTATTTATGCCGTGTCTTAAGAGTTCGACGGAGTTACATAGTCAGCAGTGTGTCTAGTGGCTCTGCTGTAGTTTTGCAGATGTTTTTAAAATGCACAGACATTCAGAAAAGGGAAATACTGTAATTCTCTGTCAGTTGTTAGGACTGTCTGTTTCCCCTTCCTGTTGTGTCTGCTGGGTGGAGATGTCATCACACTCACCTGTGTCTCTGTCATTAGTCTCACTCGTGTCACCTGGTGCGCTGGGTGTATACAGTATATACCTCTCTCCCTCACTCTGTTCTTGTGGGATCAGTGTTCAGTGTGTGCTGTGTTTTGAAGATCATGTTTTGTGACCAAGTGAGTTTTAGTTGGTTTTGCTTCTCGTTAATAAACCTGTTGCACCTTAACCCAATATCTGAGATGAAACAATGTGTATCAGCAAAGATTATTGGGACACATTATAGGTTTAATGTGCCAGAGGTTGTTGAGAAACACAAGTGCCTACATGTCCAGCAGCGGCACTGGACGTCACTGGATATCACGTGTGACCTACTAACGTACACTGTACATTCTGGAGAAGCTTTTGTTGTTGTAAAGTTATTATTTTGTACGTAACAGCCTAAATTACAACTTGTTTTACCATGTCACTTTGGGTTAGGCT